CGAATGTGTCGGGCGCGAAACGGCGCTTCTTCTTCTCCTCGTTTCCTCCTTTTTTTTTCTTTTTTATCGGCCCAGCGTGCACTCGGTAGGATGTGGTTGTGCCTGCCCTTAGTGCATGGGAGATGATGCCTATGGCCATGGACACACTTGTCCATTGTGTTTCTCTTATTCTCTCTTGTTCTCTCTTTCTCTTTCTCTCTTTCTCTCTCCCACTCTCTCTCTCTCTCTCTCTCTCTCTCTCTCCCTCTCTCTCTCGCTCTTTCCCTCTCCCTCTCTCTTTCATGCTCTCTCTTACTCGTAGTTCATGGGGGCTGGTGCGTAGAATCCTGGACATGCGTGCCCACCATGTTGTATCTCGTTCTTTCTCTTTCTCTCTTACTTTCTCCCCCTCTCTCTCTCTCTCGCTCTCTCTCGCACACACACACTCTCTCTCTCTCTCTCTCTCTGATCCTCCTCTTGATTGTTTCAGAGTCTCTTTGCCAAAACAGTAGGCCTTTAAGAAGGTAGTTTTTTTTTTTTTTTTTTTAATCAAATCAACCAACACACATAGCAATGCTCTCCTAGCATGCATCATGCTACCGAGCGGTGAACCACATGGGACCGAGGGGGTTGTTGCTCCCCTTCCCTATCCTAGGCCCAAAGCATATTCCTACCCTTCACTAGGGCTGGCCTCTTGCCATCGCAAACCCCTAGGGTTGCCCACGGTTTTCGCACTCAAAAGTGCACCGTGCCTAGCGCTCAAGCGCCTATTCCCATGGCCCGCTCCTACACCACCGGAGCGGGTCCTTGGCCGCCGTGCCCGTTCCTAGGGCAGGCACTTGCCACGTGGCCCGGCTGGCCGCAGCGGAAGCACGAGCCCCGAAACCCGCGGCAATTGGCCGTGGGCGGGGGGCCCCGCTTGGGTAAAAACGGCAACGGCGCGTTGTTTCCGCCGCGGTTGGCACGAGCATATCCGCTTGCCGCACGGTCCATTGCCGCCATGTCTGCGACCGCCTGCTTGAAGGGTCGAGAAGTCAGCAGGCTCTTCTGCTGGTACAACTTGAAGCGCTTCGTCGTGCGGAAGTCGGATGCGTCCTCCACTTGAAGCACCTCGAAACGCCCCGAGATGAGGTTGAGAGCGTGCGAGATGAGTTCGAGCCCGCCCGCTGGGTCTCCGCGCTGCGCCTTGTATTCCGCGTGCAGCAGGTATGCGCGCAAGTCCTCCAGCAGCTCCGCTTGCTCTCGCACGGAGTCGTTGACGAATGTTGCCGCCGAAAAGGTGAGGTTAGAAGAAGGGAGGGGGGGAAGGTGTCAGAGGTCCACTGGTGATCCCCGATTGATCCTAAGGAAGGGTTACAGGCATGTTGGCCTGGGGGGTTATGGGCGCACTGACCCGCTACTGAAAAAAAGCCCTTTTATCCCAATGGTCTAGTGGTTGGGATTCTGACATGGTATCAGAGCGAAGGTCTCGGGTTCGAATCCCGGTGTATGCACTTCGGGCATCCCAGTGTGGGGGGGTGTCAGAGGTCCACTGGTGATCCCCGATTGATCCTAAGGAAGGGTTACAGGCATGTTGGCCTGGGGGGTTATGGGCGCACTGACCCGCTACTGAAAAAAAGCCCTTTTATCCCAATGGTCTAGTGGTTGGGATTCTGACAGAAGGTGTTCCGTGCCATTAAAATTAACATTGTTGACTGGAGCCTCACCGGCTTCATCTTCAGAGTCGTCGGTGTCGTTGTCGACCGCTGGAGCGGGGGGTGCTGCTACTGCTGCGTCGTTGTCGTGCCGAATGGTCCTTGCTCCTCTCGCGCCTTTTTCCTTTTTTGCATTTTCTTTTTTAGCCGACGTAGATGCAGCGGGTAGTGCAGTTTCCGCGGCTGTAACGCTGACGGGCTGCTGCTGTAGAAGGGACAGCAGCGCGTTGACCTGGTCCGGGGTCAACGCCTGCGTCAACGCAGGGGCGGTCGTCGCGTCAGACGAGGAGACCGCCGTCCGCCTCCTCTGGCGCTGACGCGACGGTCCAGCCGCGGGTGCTGGCGTGTGCTCGGCGTCAGTGGCGTGTGCCACGCCCGTGGCCGTCGCCACTTGCGCCGCAGGTGCCACTGGCGCCACAGGCACCTCAGGCGCCACTGGCGCCACTGGCGCCGAAGGGAGCTGCTGGGCGTTGGCCGAGTTGTTGACCTCGAGCCCGCCCAGCAGCACGTCCACTCCAGTCGGGGCGGGCGGTCCATCTTCTGCCCGTCGCTTGTTACGGCGTTCGCCCGCCAAATCGCGGGTGTTACGGTCGTTGTCGGAGGCGGGGTTGGACGAGTTCCCGTTGTTAAGTGTCGGCGTCGGTGTCATCGTTGAGCGATTGAAGTTAAAAATATCGTTGAGTAAGGTCGAAGGTGACTCGCCTCTAGGAAGCGATTTTGTTCTAGCCAGCTTGGACGGAGGGATAAACTACGTGAGCAGAAGTGTTGAGTGAGCCGTTTGAAAATCGAGAAACGTGGGTGGAGGGAAATGAACTCCAACCCACGGTTTTTGTAGTTGGAGAAGGGCGTTTAGCGCGCTTCGACGATGCCAATTGAGCAGTACAAGCAGCTTCGCTTTCACAATACACAATTTTAAAAAACACTATGTGTGTTTAAAAATTATAATCTACCGTACGTAGCTAACCCACAAGGATTGTCACCTCCACTCCACACCAGTAATTGTACCACCAATAATGCCAACTCCAACAAAGTAGTCCAAGAATGCAGCCCGTACAATAATTGTACAATTACGTATTGTAAGGTCTAATGGCTTATATAGGGGATTGCACTTAAACCTAACAGCAAATAACTTTTCGTATGCTTTATATTTGCAACACTTCCCACATCAAAACCAAGACAAAGATAAAAAAATTCAGAAAAGAATGCAAGGGAGACGTGAGAGGGGAGGGGGGAGGAGAGGGAGGCTTACATAACCTCTTTTAACTAGAAGGATGGGGTTGTGAACGAGAGAAATCTGATCCAGTCTAGACAAGAGAAGACTCTTCTGTTTCCACCTTGGCTGCTTCCATACTTCCCTCTTGAGAACTTGCCAGCCAGCTACCCTTCTTGGCGCCTGCTCAACAACCGTCATTGGAACCGTCCACCAACTGCCTCTCTAAACTTTCTGAGAAGCCCAGCAACAGCACAACATTCTCCTGCGCTGTGGCTATTGATTCAGGCCTCAAGGCTTGGCTCAATTGGCGGGTCAGGAAGGTACAGCGTCGACGCTGGGAGGTTCTGTTCTGCTGAATTGTTGCTGGAAGATTCTGAAACATCACTCAAAGCTTCTGAAACGTCATTGGAAGGTGTTGTGGTGGTGTTGAATTTTGCTGTGGGGATGCAGATGCCACGGAATGCACTGTAGCCCGGCTTGCACATGCACTCCATTTCGTTGCCTCCGGTGCGTTTGCCACACTCGGAGTTGGCAGGGCAGCCTGTAGTGACGCACGTGGGCTCTGCAGCACAGGCAAGGAGAGAGACGGCAGGTGAGCTCGAGGGTCCATCCAGACAGGGAGAGAAAGAGAGAGAAAGAGAGGTACGGTTAAATCCATACAAAGCTTACCGGAACGCTGGCATGTGTTGCTGACAGCAGTGTAGCCTTTGAAGCACTGGCACGTCACTGCCAAGCGATCGTCGGTGGTTGGGCTGCATGCGATGGAGTTGGCAGGGCAGCGCACATACTGGCAGATGTCGTCTGCAGCACAGCGCAGCGCGAAAGGGGGGAAAGGGAAGGCAGAGATGAGGCACCCACCCACTCGTGCGCTGTGCAGCGCAACAAACTGGGCTGTGCGGGTGAGAGCGCGGAGTCAGTGTGAGGGGACGACTATGCAGGGTATTCTCGAGACTTCTCAAAATGGCCCTGGAGCGGAATGGAGGAGAGGCGGGCGGGGCAAGGCAAGCGGGGACGCACCAATGATGCAGAGGGCGGACTTGGCTGCACCGGAGATATACTTGGCACTACAGCACACAGGGGGGGGGCAAGAGTGCAACGGTCGATGGTCAGGTGGGGGAGCAAACGAGCGGCGTGAAAAGCATACGAGCATGGAAGCAGGGCGAGCAGGAACGAAAGGTGCACCTCTTCCTGCCCATGGCGAAAACGTCCAACATCTGCCCTTTGCAATGGGAATCCTGGAAGATCCGAATTGCGCGGCACTCAGCACTGCCAGCATCGCTTCTTTGATGCCACAGCACCTCCACCTGCGTCCTCACAAAAGCCGGCATGGCAGTAAAGTTGACACAGCGGCGCGACGCGAAGCTAGTAATAGGCGGCTGTGGATCACCATTTGTGTGACAATCCGCATTGGGACCGATACGCTCGCTGCTGCTAGCGACGGCTGCAGGAGACACGCTGCAAGAGAGGGGCATGAGGCATGATGGGGCACGGACGCATGGGAGTGTTCATTGGGCATCCATCACGTGTACCCACATCGGGAATTTTGGGGGTCCCGCAATTGGTTGGGAAACCACTAGCTGGCGATTGGGTTTCGGCTCCAGGCATTCGCCTGGTTTTGGCGATTGGTTTTCTATGCTAGTGGCATCTAGCCTGCGGGTTGTTTTCAGTTGGGCGAATGACTGGCTGCCGAGCCTGCACAACTGCTCGGGTGGTTTTGCACGATACAGTTGCGGACATTTGGGTTGTGTTCATTGGGCGCGACGTTTCTATCGATTCGATGTCACGTCAGCAAAACAGTCTCGATAAAATGTCAGTCGGGAAAATCGTGGAAGTCCACGTAATGAGAAAAAATACACTGTGCTCTTAGCGGAAATGACGATACACTTTAATTATTGATAAATGATGGTAGGGCGGCGTGTAGCAAAATATATAAAAGTTATCTACATATAGTAAGGCGAATAATACGTATTTACGCTCCTTTTACAGAATGCTGTTAAAATCTATTAATTGATCAGAGTTTATGGTTCTATACCAGCAGAATATTAATGATATTAAAAAAGTCAAATACATTCTATTGATGAAATTACGCCTACAATAAATAAAAAACGCCACATCTAGAACAGCTCCACCTGCGGCTCGTTTGCGTTGTGAAGCCTGCGATAAGCAGCCCTGGAGGTGAGGTCATCTCGGGTCAAATCCCCGAGCTCATCTGCTTCCAGCTCAGCTTCAGGGATCTCCTTCCATCCAACGATGCAGATGCTGCCAATGCCGACACAGTCGCCATCCCGTTCAACGGGCCCCTCGTTGATCCACCTCTGCACCACCCGTGCCTGCCTGGAGAAGGCTGACGGGTCCCCTGATCGCTTAAACTGGGCCTTGCCATGGGGATAACGAAGCTTGAAACGCACCTGAAACAAGTGAAACAAAAACCACAGTAAGCGAAACGTTAAACACAAAGACAAATTCCACCGTACTTGACTTACCGCTGCAAGGATAACCAGCAGCTGATCAGGAAACAACGCAATGGGAAGGGCGCCATCGAATTCCGGGTCCCAAAGGGACGCACACTTAACAAACGCTGGGCTAGAAAAGGGTGATCCCTCCCACAAATGCCAATAAATTCCCATCATCACTGCCATAAGAGAAAGCATCAGCTAAAAGCAAGGCTCAACGGAGTACTGGAAAAACTGGATTTCGGAATCAAAGAGAAACTTACTGTCGGATTGGTTCTTCACGAAGTCCGCGCACACCTTCGCGAAGTCATCAATCTCGGAGAAAGTTAGCTCGCCCTTCAGGGTTCGCTTCTCCCTCATGAAGACACACGGATCTCGGCTCAAGGCGTAAACGCGGCAGAGGCGGTAGATCTTCCCGATGCGATCGTTAAAACGTTCCATAGCATCCTTCAGCTTGCCCTGCGACTTGGCAATCGCTGCCACCTGCATCCCTTCGGCCGATTCGGGGGTGTAGCCTGCATGCCCTGCACACGACGTAAACTGTGATGATTAGTACACTAATCGTCATGAAGGGAAAATTGACAACGCTTAACAAGCTTACTGATCAATGCATTTAGCATGTCAGCAGAATCAGGATTGAGGTTGAGAAACGCTTTCTTGAACAGGAATTCATCACAGGCGTCCTTCGTGTACTTCTGCAAGACGATGACAGAGAGTCAGGACGAATGAAACTGGGTTACGATGGTCAATGAAATGCAAACCCGTACCTTCCAGACGAGAGTCGACTGGTCCACTTGCGTAGTCTTCTTAGCAAGGTGCGTTATAAGCACCAGCGCGCTTTTCAGGTCATCGGCGAGGCGACCATTCTCTTTCTGATAAACTCCGGCGATCGCCTTCTGAGCTTCTGCCTTAGTTCGAAGCTCCTCATTCACATCAGGTTCGGCGCGCGCTTCCTCGTCGAAGCGAGCGGCATCAGTTGCATACGCACGCCCCGTCGCCCGGGTCATAAGCAACTCCATTGGGCTGCGGTTGGGGTTTCCTGTTGTGGGGGGAAATTATACAAAGCGGAACGTTTGATATGAATTCAACAGGTTGAAAGCAGGTTGTTGCCGGCAACTATTGAGACACCACTTCGAGAAAGGTATAGCAGACATACCTTCAACAGCAGCAGGTGTCCCGGCGGGAACAACAGCATCGGGAGCCACATCAGCAGGAGGGGAACCACCGTCACGAATAGCAGAACGGGAAGGTCCGGCAGCAGCTGCGGCAGCGGAAGATCCGGCAGCAGCGGCAGCAAGGGAAGACCCGGCTGCAGCGACAGCAGGGGAAGATCCACCAGCAGCGGCAGCAGCAGGGAAGGGATCACTTGCAGCATCATCGAGGGGACCACCGCCAGCCACGGACTTCACTCCAGCTGCCAGTGCAGGAACGGTTTTCCCAGCGACGTCAGCTTTGTTGACGTCATCGAGGCTGCGCCTTGGATGTTTGGTCCGTTGGCCGGTGCGAGGGCGGCCCTGCGCTTGCTCGTCGGACGATTCATCGTGGCTTTCATCTGCGAGAAACAATGAACGGTGGTTAGTCGTGTTCGACTTCATTGGTGCAAGCAAAAAAAAAAAAAAAAAAAGCAACGCAATACAAACCAGCGTGCAAATACCTGCGGTAGCAGCGGCACCAACAATCCAGCGTCGAGAGGTGGGGTGGTAAAACTGCCACCCAGGGGCGTCGGGGGGGAACCCCAGGAAGACGCAGGGAGAAGCACGAGGGGACAGCTTGTCCGCAGACAGGTCGCGAACAAACGCCCGAGATCCCCAGACCCGGAACGCCGACGCATCGCCAACCTTCCCCGTCCACAGCAGGGCTGGGGAGGTCTCCGGTCGAGAGACCCTGGGGTGGAGGTTGATCTGGTGCGCAGCGTACCTGACCGCAAACGGCCACAGAAAATGGGGAGCAGCCGCATGCATCATGGACGTACGAGCGACGTCCATGACGATGCCAATGCGGCGCTCAGCAATCCCATTCTGCTGCGGTGAGTCCGGAAGCGTGAAGGTCTGACGGATGCCTCGCGCACGACAGTAGGCACTCAGGAGGCCAGAGGAGAACTCTCCGCCTCTGTCCGAGTGCAGACGCAAAACAGGGAAGTCAGAGCCAAAGCTCCTCCGAAGCTGGAGACGAGCTGCGCGGATCCAGTCGATCAACACCGCAGTGACCTCACCCTTGCTGCGCAAGGGGAAGACTGTGGTGTAACGCGAGTAGTCGTCAACAACCAGCAGGAAGTAGCGCTCCTGACCCTGTCCACGGACGCGGGCTGGGCCCCACACATCCATGTGAAGCGTCTGCAACGGGGCCTCTGTCGGAGGAAACTGGGAGGAGTGAGGGGCAGCACGCTGGCGCCCCTCGACACAGGGGACACAGGTGGGGCCAGGGCCCGGAGGGAGGGGAGGGAGAGACCGGGGAAGACCAGACACAAGGACTCGCGAGGCCATGCCTCTGAGCCGAAGTAGAGAGGGGTGGCCAAGGCGGTGGTGCCAGAGGAGGGTCTCGTGAGACAGACGACGGCACGAGCAGGGGGCAGACTCAGGACCAGACCTGGACGCTGCAGCAAACACCTGACCAGACGAAGTGACCCTACCAGACTCAGCACCTGGAGGAGAAGCAGTGGTCAGAGTGTACAGGCTCGACCCTGGCCGACGTGTAAACGTAGCCAGGTGGCGACCTGTATCCGCCTCCGTGCAGTGGGTCACCCGCTGACGAGCAGGGGTGAACTGGTGGACACCCGCATCCTGGAGGTCAGCACCACTCACCAAGTTCGTCGAGAACGAGGGGAGGTAAAGACCAGTCAGGGTGCCAGAGGGGGCCGCCGGACACGGGAGGACAGTGGAGAAGCGAGACAGGACAGGCCCCCCAGAGGGGTCAGCCAGGGACACCGCAACCGGCCGACTCAGCGGCGTGAGAGTGGTGCGGTCCCGAAAGAAGGAGCGAGACGCTCCAGAGTCAAGGGTGAAGGTGTGAGAGGCCGAAGCCGACACAGTACCTGAGAGGGCAGACTCACCAGCACCTGAGAGCACAGACGCACTGGCACCTAGAGCAGCAGCCTCACTAGTACCTGACGCGGCAGTACCAATGCCCGGGTCGGGCGGGAAACACCGGTAACAGTCATCCTCATCACTACCAATCGCAGCATACATAGCAGAGAGAATAGCATCAAAATCAAGATCATAAATAGCTACACCAGCCCTAGACAGCTCTCCCCAGCGGGGGATCTCAGCTGCCTCCGGAAACTGCTGACGCCAGGCGTCAGTCAGGCGGCCAAAGCAGCGGCGGGCAGTGTGGGCGCCTCCACACCTCTCCCCTGCACGGTCACCGGTGCGGAGAACGTAGGGGCAAGGACCAAGCGCACCACCACGCTGACGCTGCGAGTACCACTCACGGAGCTGCTGAGGGGCGGGGAGGGTGCGAGAGCGCTGCTGCTGCTGTGGCTGCTGCTGCGGCTGCTGCTGCTGCTGCTGCTGGCGCTGACCACCCCCGGAGCTGCTCCGCTGGGACGAGCCACTCCGACCCCCGCCTCCACTGCCACCCCCGCCTCCACCGCCACCCCCGTCTCCACCTCCACCTCCCCCACCAGGACCGTCGCTCCCACCGCTCCCACCGCCTCCTCCGCTACCACCTCCGCCGCCACCTCCGCCTCCACCGCCGCCACCAGTACCTCCACTCCCGCCACCACCCCCACCGCCACCCCCACTCCCCCCGCCACCCCCACCGCCTCCTCCACCGCCCCCTCTAGCTCCACCCGCTCCCTTGCCCCCCTTGCCCTTGCCAGCTCGGCGTCTGCCGCTGGGGGCAGACGCCGCGCCGACCGACTCAAAACCAGTGAGGTCGGCCGCAGCGGCAGAGGCGACAGAGGGCAGCAGGGGGGAAGGACCACACCCCTCAAAGATAGGGGTGCGAGGGTCACCCCGAGAGGCCCCTACAGCGACAATACTCTTCTCAGCCGCTAGCAGGGACTCCTCAAGGAGGTCGACAGTGAGAGTGGTGGGACAGACAGAGAGAAACTGGTCCCTAACGACACGAAGGGACTCAGGGAGACGGGTGACGAGAAAGTAGAGAGTGATGTACATGGGAGGAGGGTTCGCAGCGCGGAACTCAGCAGGAAGGGCAGCGCGGTAGCGGGTGTCACTAGCACGGAGGTGGGTAACGAGGTCAGCGACAGTGGGAAAGGAAGCGAGGTCAGGGAAGAGAAACGGTAGCATGAGGCGGCTAAGGGTAGCGGAGGAAGGGGAGGAGTAGCGTGCAACTACAGCGTCGTACAAGGCCTGAGCGGTCTTGCACTGACTAAAGTGGGCACGCTCAGAGGAAGGGAGGTGGCGACGCACAGCAAGACGTGCAGCAGCATCGCGGGTCGCCCACTTGGAGCGAACGGCAGAGTCAGCATCAGCAGGTGGGGCAGGGACAGCGCCAGAGACAAAGTCAAAGAGAGAGACCTCATCTATCGCATCACACAGTAAGTACAGCTGCAGGTCTTCAATCCAGACGGCAAAGTCAATGGCCCTCCCCTCAGCGTCAAAGGTAAGAACATTGGGGGTGGCCATGACAGCAGCTGAAAATCTCACCGGGCTGGGAGAGGCGGGTAGGTCAGCAGCAGAGGAACAGCAGCACGGCTCCGCAGGCGGCTCGGGCGGCGCGGGCGGCTCGGCGGCGGCTCGGGCGGCGGCTCGGCGGCGGTTCGGCGGCGGCTCGGCGGCGGCTCGGCGGCGGCTCAGGCGGCGGCGGCTCGGCGGCGGCTCGGCTGCTGCTGGGCGGCGCGGGCGGCTCGGGCGTCACGGGCGGCTCGGCGGCGGCTCTGGCGGCTCGGCGGCGGCTCGGGCGGCGGCTCGGCGGCGGCTCGGCGGCGGCTCGGCGGCGGCTCGGCGACGGCTCGGCGGCGGCTCAGGCGGCGGCGGCTGCTGCTGGGCGGATCGGCGGGGCCGCGACCGAAGAGGGCGGCGGGGCCGCGTAGCAGAGGGCGGCGGGGCCGCGTAGCAGAGGGCGGCGGGGCCGCGACCGAAGAGAGCGGCGGGGCCGCGTAGCAGGGGGCGGCGGGGCCGCGTAGCAGAGGGCGGCGAGGCCGCGTAGCAGAGGGCGGCGGGGCCGCGATCGAAGGGCGGCGGGGCCGCGTAGCAGAGGGCGGCGGGGCCGCGTAGTAGAGGGCGGCGGGGCCGCGTAGCAGAGGGCGGCGGGGCCGCGAGGCAGAGGGCGGCGGGGCCGCGTAGCCGAGGGCGGCGGGGCCGCGATCGAAGGGCGGCGGCGGGGCCGCGTAGCAGAGGGCGGCGGGGCCGCGATCGAAGGGCGGCGGGGCCGCTAGGGAAGGGCGGCGGAGCCGCGAGGGGAAGGGCGGCGCAACGGTCCGCTAGGGGCGACACGACGGGTCGCTAAAAAAAAAACGCGCCTCGGGGCGCGGTTCGGTGGGCCCTAGAAGCAGTCCCTAGGAGGGAACCTGCTCTGATTCCATGTGGAAACAAAGAACGAGAATGAAATGACTATGAACGAAGTGAGTACAAATAGGAAACCCTAATTGGGTTGTACCCCCTATGGGATACCCCACTATAGCCTACAGAAACAAGTAAGCTATAAGTTCTGACACTGATTTCACAGTGGTCGTAATGGGTGGTCACAGCAAATTTGACGTGGTTCTTTCTCGCTGTTGACACAGGAGTGTGACGTGAACACACACTGTTCAGTATAAAATTATAACATTACACACTCTAACGCGTTATATGTACCAGAACGGATGAAATCCAAGACATTTTAAACCAGTGAATCTGAGGCGCTATGTTAAGGTTTTATGTTTAATTTGAGCAATTTACTATCCAACAGAAACTTTTCAAAACATTTGCTTTGTCATAAAATGTCAAAACATTATATACACACATATAATTATTTACAATATCAACATCAAATATTTACAATATCATATTCTACCATCTAAAGTGGTTTAGCACAAACGTTGCCATCGGATGTGAAGGATCAACAGTTTTGGGGACGACGTGACGCACACGCAAGATGCTCTCAACTGGCAACACCCCATACCCGCGGCGAGATGGCCACCAGTTCAAGGTCTTCATGTCCATCGTCTCTGACTGTGGGAGCGATCCGTAATAGCGACAAAATGCAAGCTGCTCCGAACACTGCTCCTCCCTATCTTCCTCGTCACCGGCGCCAGCAATACACACCGTCCATCTCAGTGTAAATATAAGGAAAAGCTTCGCATGCCACACCACCTTCTTTTTCTCGTCATCCTCTCCCTCAATATCCACATCCGAAAACCAAGGGCCACCATGGAATGCCGGAGACGCTCGTGCATACTGTGGGTACCTGCTGTACCTTGTAAAATCGTCGTCGGGTGGTACCGCAACACCTGTGTGCACATCTACCATCCGAGCATAGTGAACCGCGTTGGCGCCATGCTCTTCCGTGAGGTATGACACAATACTGTCCTCCAGAAGGTCAAAGTCTCCTGGGACGCTCCGCGAGTATGCCCTGAAGGTCTTGTCACGCTCATCACCCAAGACAAACCTTGCACTCGTCCCGGTGACAGTAGCAACTCCCGTCTCTATGGCCTGCAGTAGTTTTAAGAATGTAGGTTGACACATCAGGCAAAAAACAATACAGTACATAAGGAGAAAGCGGGAAACACAATTAAGAAAAACATGCAACAAGAGGGACTGCAACACTTGTAGGCATAGTATTGAGTAGGAGGTAGGATGATAGCTAATACATCTACATCTTGCAGTGTTCAATAACAACACACCTGCTGAAGGGCGGCTGATCGTGCGTGCGCATCGGGAACATCATCGGCCGCAGTCATCCACTCGACCAGCTCTGATGTCAGGCAACGCCGTGTGATAGTTGCTTCGGCGTTCCTCTTGTTAGAAGCTCTGTACGGTCTCTTCATCAAGGCCACGTGCACGTGCTCGTAGACATCGGTGCAGTAGTGAATCGGGACGCCACGACGCCTGATGTCGTCACTAACGTGAAGCATCGCGTGAATCTTGGGGACATTGAAGTTCGATGCTTGATCATCCACCGTGAACTCATTCATCAGCATCGGAACAAGCCTGCACGTAATGCAACGGCACGGTACATAGCGATGCAGAAGATCGATAAGGAATGATACAACGGACAAACGACACAATTATATTATGGCATGCACATGGATGCGAGCAATCGTGTATCGTACTCACGTGCTCGCCATGTTGTCAAGGTTCGCCAAGGAGGCGTCGGTGTGGTACGTGCGATGCCATGCCTCCCTGTGCCACGTGCAGAAGAGCTCCACAGATGCCACAATCCGTGCGTCAACCTTCGCCATCACCAGAAGCACTGGCAGCACCTGCATCACCGCTTGATGGTGGAAGGCCTTGAAGGTGTTGTGGCCGCTGAAATAGCCAGCTGTGTGTGCAGGAATCCGAAAGAAAGACTGCCTGCTGTACTTGGTGATCCGCTCGAGAGAAGCATCGAGCTCCCGCAGGGTGGAGTCATTCAGCTTCGACTTGAGACCCTCCAGGATGTGCTTGTATACGCCGAGGAGAGACATGTGCATGATGTCGGACGTGAGTTGTCGGTACGGGTTGCCGAAATCCTCGTCGCCAAAGCGTTGCCCCCATATAGCACTCTGCGATGCGCACGCACGCACGCACCCACACACTCACATACACCCATACACATCCACACACACACATCTACCCATCCACACATTTACACACACCCACCCACACACCCACACACCCACACACCTACTCACACACACACCCACACATCCACACACACACACACCCACACACACCCACACATCCACACACACACATCCACGCACCCACACACCCACACACCCCCACACACGCATCCACACATCCACCTACACACCTACACACCCACCCACCCACACGCATCTACACGCCCACCCACACACCCACACACACACACACTCACACACTCACAGACACACATCCTCGCACCCACACACCCACCCACACACCCATACACCCACACACCTACCCATACGCACACCCACACACCCACCCACCCACAGACACACACCCACACACCCACACACACCCACACACCCACACACCCACACACACCCACACACCCACACACTCACACACCCACACATACACATCCACGCACCCACACACCCACCCACACACCCACACACAGACACATCCACACACCCACACACATACATACACATACACACACACGCACGCACACACACACACGCACGCACACTAACACACACAGACATACATACACACACACGTACGCACACACCCACACAGATACCCACACATACCCACACACACCTACACATACCCGCGCACACCAACACACACATCCACACACACATCCACACACTCGCATCCATACTAAACCCCACACACCCACACACACCCACACACACACACATACACACACACGCACGCACACACACACGCGCGCACACTAACACACACAGACATACATACACACAAACGCAGAAACAGACACAGAAGCACACACATCAGTTTGGGCATCTAGCAAAACCCTAGGTCAACATGTTATGATTATTAGTGCACGACTTCGCGACAAACAACAAGTGTAAAGTACCTTAACGAAGTGTGTACTGTAACGCTTTGTCAAGTCGTTGCGTGCTGTAACCCTCGTCTCGCGTTCCATCTCCATGACTCGCTCCTTTTGTAACGCTTCCGTTCGATACACCAGCGGGAACGCCATGTTGTTTAGCTCTTCCTTTGGAACGGTGCACCTGGGGCATGGAAAACGGGTCTTGATGCCGGACTTGGTGCCTGCCACTTTGCACTGCTCCGGATAGTCGCCAATGTAAGCGTACGTGAGCGGAAAGACCATACGACGAATGCCGTATGGATCTGTCAGTTCCACGCCACTGCATGCAAGACAATAGAGAATCGATAAACACATTTGCACAGTATCCAACAGTTCACAAACGTAGACAAAACAACCAAAAGCAGAGAGAGGGAGGGGAGGGGGGGGGCTTGGAGGGTAGGATCTTACGTGTTCTGGGCAATCTTCAAATCCGCCATGATAAGATCCAAGGCCTCCTGGAATACTTCAAGGTGCCGCCGCTCCTTGTCCGCGTGCGTGAAGAAGCTCCCGTCATCATCGGGTAGGAGAGCGCATAATCGATGCCCATGGGGTTTCCATCGATTCCCTGGCGCAATGTTGGCTAACGAGATGTACACGGGCCAACCCTTGAGTCCGCCATCAGTCGTGAGAGTTGTTTCGTCCGAGTAGATGATCACTGCAGCGACTGCCTTGCCTGGATCAGTAGCTGGCAGTTTACGGAGTACCTCCCGCCACCAACTCCCCGTCTCAGGACCCTTGTAAATCCGTTTCGCCGGATTGAAGTTCTTGGGAGGGCGCACAACGAAACCATGCGCATTCGCCACGTTCTCGTACAAGCTGGTGACACACGTGAGCGCCGAACGCCGCCACAGGATCACGGGCTTCAGATCTCCCGGCTTTGTGAGTTCCACCTGCTCAAACGGTTCAATGTTGGCCCCTGCCAACTTCGCCTCCTCGTACTTGTCGAAGTCTGCTAGAGACTTGAGCGTTAGCCGGCCTGGGTTGCGCAGAACCTCGACGAGGATGGATATCAACTCCATAATATCTACGCGTGAAAGGCCGGATCCTCCAGCTGCCGTGCGAATGAAACGGTACGTCCGAGCATCAATGTCAACCGCTGTAGCATCACACTCCGGGGCGAACTCGTAGCCTGTGGTGTCCTCGTTCAACTCAGCCGTGTCAGGCTGCTCATCAAAGCGGCTCGGCCCTGGCTGCGTTTCAAGGCGTGTGCGCTTGGTGCCTCGTGAAAGAAGACGGTTTGCAGCTGCTCGTAACCTTTCCACTGCTCCCCCCTGGCTAGAATCATCACGCAATCCTTCAGATGCTGCCTCTTCCACCCTATTCTTGTGCTGTCCTTTCCTCATATGCCGTGCTTTCTGATGTGCATACGAGAATGTCGCTACACATTGGGGGTAGAGGTCACACTTGAATGGCCTGTTGTCATCCGCCATACTGCAAAATATACTGGAAGCCTTGCAGGGTTTTTCCTCAAATCAAATTTCTGCATTACAGAAGATTCGTACAGCACACCAACTCCAAGCTACTATCAGTGACTCTAACTACAGCCCCTACATGCAGATGCGGCCTGGCAGAGGGGACCCTTCTCAGCAGCCTTCTGCAGATCTGCAGGAGCACACCAAAACACATACAAAACATGCCAGAAGCGTCTTAGACCACAGAACAATGAGGAATAGAAAGTTACCAAAACAGAAACCACACAAACAACGGTCACACCGGATTGCAGATTGGGTGTGCAACCATCTAACATTTCCTCACCAGGCTGAAACTGTAGGAGTAGATATTTGGACAACAGCGGATCTCTTCGAAAGCAACCCTGCAGACACGAAACAGTAGTTTGAAATTATTTACATGCATAGACAGTTCTGTCAAAGGGTGCACCTGAACATAATTTACGATTTTCCAAAAACGAGGATGTTAATAACCAGCACGCTAAAGAGGTGATACGAAATTAAGCAATGTTTATGTGGATTTGAAACACAGAGAACACAAAAAAACGATCAAAGGGTTGTGAATGGAGACAATACAAGTAACAGATGAACAATTCCACCCGGGCCAGTCACATACCTGGAGACTAACAGATCGATCGTTGCAGGATACAACACACCACCAGGCCAACAGAAAAAACTAAGTAAGCTGGGAGGGAAACTATCGGTCTGAGAGAGTAAAAATGGTAGACAAATTTTCCTGAATGACAGAATGGCCAGTCGTGGAAGAGTACCCCCTGGCTGGTTGGTTGGGAAAAGGGTGAGGGAGGGGATGGGGGTAGGGAATTGGGACCTAACATTATAGTTTTGAACCCAGCCAAAGTGTTGTGAGTAGTTCTCAATTCAATGAAAAACATGATAAACCGTACCCCACCGCACAGTTCGGAAATCGCACACGAAGAGAGATCTGGGCAAGGTCGACCAAGGGTACGAGTCTTGTTCCCATTGGTCCAGATTCGAATGCCGCGATTGCCATTCGTAAAAAAATCAGGCCCGTTCTGTGCTGGCAAGGGTCGTTGTCGCTATCACTAGCGACGGGTTGACGGACGGGGCTACTCGCCAGCTGGAACTTGTCGTGATGCTAGACACGTCAGTCAGTTCCCGCCCCACCTGTACAGGTCGGGTGTACACCCCACCCAGCCCAGGGTTCTGCGTCGTATCCGCTAAAAATTACAGCAGCGCCTCGGCGAACAATCGCGCGAAGTGGAGGCGTTGTGCAGAAACACCTGACACGCCCTTTTTGTCTTCGGCGAATGAATTTCAGGTCGCGAACCCACCTCTTCTGTTTCGCGCAGGCAAACTTTGCGTCACCCCTTGTATGCACCAGGACAAACCTTCACCAACCACCTGGGTCCACGCGCAACCAATCCGCATGTGAGCGCCTGGCAGGTGGCTGTCAGGTGTGGGAGGGTCCATCGAGAGTATTTGAAACGACCAGGACCACCCGATCCTGATCCTCCCTCTACATGTGCCGTAGATTCTAAGGCACTTCCCGCAGAAGGGCCAACCGCCTCTAAAGGCAACGCCCTTGTGAGTAAGCTCACTCGGGTGTTTCATTTGGGTATACCAAAATGCTATTCGAGTGACTTATAAGTTATATATAAAGCAGTGCTACAAGTATGCTAAATTTACCGCTGTACCTGCAATGATTATCGCCACTATTATATTCATCAACCAATTCATCACTACTAAACGGTACATTGTATTTGGTCACAAATCTATTGTCACAAAAAAAAACATACAACATTACCATGCTTGCCACACGATATGTCACGTCATATAGACAAAGCTATTCCATCTCGCACCAAAATTTACACGTCGGGTCCACTTATCGAAGATAAATGGCCTCACAGACCAGCGTGGCTGTGACCAATTTCGACCAACCATATCGTGCAAGCGTGGAGCTGCTTGACTGGCCGAAATATTCTCTGGCACTCCCAAACCTGGGCCCGACCTATTTCTTGCCACCCATGCCTCGGAAACAGGTACGACGCGTGCCAAATGTCGCACTTGCGCTCGGCAAAACGCAAACAAAACGCCTCCGAACCTGCGAAATCGCAAACCACTGGCTAAAACCAATGGTTTGTAAGCGTTAGCGAGTGGTTTTACCCAACTAGATGCTGGCGAATAGCTTTCGAGTCGAAAGCGGGACAAGCAAGTTTGGCGATGCACTGTCGTGTGGAGCATTAACTCATGACGGCGTGAACACCATGATGCGCATGAGAGCACGGCGAGAGAGCGACGCGCACGGAGCGTACCGGCGATGACGGTGACGATGGCGAGAAGCGCAAGCACGGCCTTGCCATTCCCCATGCTGACGGACGCCATTGGCTCTTCGCTCTTGAGTGCCACGAGTAATCCGAGAGTAATCCGAGAGCAGGAGTAGAGCAGGAGTGTGAAGCGGAGCAATCCGAGAGAAAGAGTGCTAGAGGAAGATTGGTGCTAACTGGTAAAGCAGACGAGGTGACGAGAGCGATCGTTCACGGATGCTTAAATGGGCATCGCAGCGAGCCTAGTGTGCGGCGCATCATCCGCTCCACGGAGCTTCCGTGCGAGGCGGGAGGGACCTCTGTGGCGGGACGCAGTGCTGACTGCTGCGACAGAAATCGCTGCGGGGAACGCGTTCCCTTAGTCGCCATCGAGCCTTCTAATGGGCGTTTCGTAAGGTGTGTGCGAAGGTGACCATGTTGGCGAAAGCAAAAACGGAACATGATTTTTTGGACAAGGAATTATTGGAGGGAAGGAAGACGCCTCGTATTAAGGGCCCGTTCCCAACCACAGTGAAGGGTGGGCTCCGCCCGACACTTAGGATCCACATTCACGGTCACCACAATGTTTGCCGGACTTATTGGTTAAAAAGTCAAGCGGAATGTTGACTCCTAGCTGGAGAGCCCCAGTCCCGCTAACTTCGGATCTTGCAAATATCACTGTCGCCAACTAGGGCCTGGACAAGGCGGTCGCTAGCGAATCTCTCGCAAGCCCGCAACTGGCGCGGCAAGGCCTTGGCCATGTGCGACCACTGCGACAGAAGTCGCTGCAAGGAAGGTGTTGCTCAGGCAGGCACCATTGTGGGCTTCGATCGGGTGTATCCCGCGAGAGCAAATTCAAGGGAGGAAAACTCAAACACAACTCACATAGACGAGCACTATTATGAGTTGTTGTTATGAGTGCAATTGAGTGAACGAGCTAGAATTGCACTTCAGAAGCAAAAACATGTTATTGAGCGAAGAGATGAGCGAAGGTTATCTAGCGAAGCTAACGTGAAAGTGGGGTGTGCTACGGGCCTAGTGCCGAGATTGGGAAAATGCCGAGGCGGAAGTCTGGAACGCGGGTTACTAACCGAGCTGTGAGATTGGGTCGCGTCGTGAACAGTGGCGGGAACAGTGGTTGAGGCGATTGTCGCGAGTGGTAACGGTGCACTGCTGGGTACTGTTGGCGCGAACAGTCGGGTACGACGCGATGAGCAGGGGCGCGAAGTAAGGAAAAAAAAAAAAATCCTTACACTACCAACCACCCTCCTCAAGGAGGCCCTCCCTACAAGAGTGGGTGCACATCTCAGAAGTTGCGGCTGCGTAGATACTCGGTGAGGACAGGGTGGTTTTCAATTCTATCAAGAGGCACCCAGTTGTCTTTAGTGGGCGTGCGATCTCTTCAACGAATCAGGAACTCGATCCTACAAGCTCCACATGGGCCACAAACTCGTTGGCTCAGAATTTCTTGGGTGTAATGTGTTGATGTGTTGAGGCGAAGCCCTGCACGCGCTGGTTTTGTCGCGTGTAGCAGCCCTATACAGAGTAGCGAGGTTTCTCATACCGCATACCTATGTTGCGGGATTCGCCAAGTACACTCCAATCGTGCATTTGGGTATGCACTATTCGACATTCGACCGAATTGTAGGGAAGTGACGGCATTGCACTATCGAGTATGCGCAACTGTCAGTATCGCAAGAACGTGCAACTACTCGTGGGCAGGTAGAATATACACTTCACTGTATTTCACTTGATGGTATGTTCACCTGGCGGTGCTAGCTTGGAACCACATACTAGAGTAGGTGCCGACCAGGCTCTTCTTCCACCCGGCGCTGACCAGCACATCATTGAGCGCCTTCTACCACAGCAGCAGCGACTGCTTCAACCCATAGAGGCTCTGCTGCAGCTTGCACACCTTGCCGATCTCGTAGTTAAAGTAGTCCGGCTGTTACATATACAGTACCCGGTCGAGCTTGCTCTGGAGGAAGGCGTTCTTCATGTCGAGCTGCATCAGGTTGAGGTCGAGGACGGCGATGATGCTCAGAAAGATCCCCAGCGTGACGTAGATGCTCACTGGCGCGTACGTCTTGTTGTAGTTGGCGCCATACACCTGCGTGAAACCCTTCACGACCAACCTCGCCTTCTCACGCTTGACGGTGTCATCAATGCGGTACTTCGTCGTCAGCACCCACCGGTTCTTCATGATGTTCACCCCCATGGGCGTTCGACCAGCTCCCACGTCCCCATGCCGACGAGGCTACGGATCTCCTCTTCCATGGCGGCCTTCACTGCCTTGCCCTTCCAGCTCGCTAGCACCTCCTTTACCGTCATCGTTGAGATGTCCCAACGGTGCGTAGGGTTAGCGTGCATGTCGGGGTCGAGCTCTGGCAGTTCTTCATCCTCCTTGGCGTGGTCGTACAACAGGTCGTTGTCGACCTCATCGTACACCATGGTGAAGCCGGCCGAGACGAAGTCAACCTGTATGCCATGGTCCCGGCTGGACCTCCACCACGTCGCTATCGGTCGACTCCTCGGCGTCCCCTCCATCGTCACCGACGTCGCTGCCTTCATCGTCCTGCTGCACCTCTATCGGCTTCCCCGCTGACTTCTCCCCTGCGGTCGTCTCCCCTACCAACTGACCGGTTGTCGACTGCTCCGTGGTTGGCTTCACTGCTGCCTGTTCCCCTGTCGGCTGTT